AACAGCAAAACACAAAAACATTATAAAACCCCAACACAAAAACACTTTCCGAGAAAAATGAACTGTTCAATGAATCCAAGAAAATGCCAACTTGTTCCTTGTCGATCCAAACATGTCAAAACTGGACGCATGACGTACCCTAAAGCACCTACAGATCAGACAAAAAGAAAAACAAGAAAAAAAAAAAAAGCCAAAAAATAGGGCAATATGACAATTTCAGTGTAAAAATTAGGTGAAAAAAGCACCCACAGTTAACCACGTGGTTCCGTCTGTTTTCTCCGGGATTAACGAATTAAAACAACAAGCTACCAGCTTGGCATGGCTCCACCAACGCCAAAGAGTCGAAGAGAGCAACAACACCCCAAGAGCATAGAAGGATGAATCCTGCTCTGGCTATGTGGAACCGACTGCCATGTAGAGCCCGTCTGGCTGCTATGCACTCTGGGTACTACTACGGGTGATTGGTGCTATGTACATGTTGCGATGTGCAGTGCAGGCTATTATATAGGCTAGGTGGCTACGTATGTTGGGTGCTACTATGCAGAATGCATGCTATATGTGCTGGATAATACTAATGTGGGCTCGTGCTGTGCGCTGGGTGCTCATGCATTGGTTGGTACTGTGGACCGAATGTAATGTGAACAGGATTGTGCTATGCAAGTTGGGTACTGTGGGTTGGGTTCTATGTGCGCTGGACGATACCATATAGGCTGGGTGCTATGTGTCCTGGGTGGTACTACGAGGGATCGGGGCTGGGTACTATGAAGGCTGACTGCTGTCTTGGGCAAGTACTACGCGGGCTGAGAGCCAGGTTCTAAGCACGCTGGGAACAGCTGTACAATGTGAGATCGCTGACAGTATCTGGGGCGTGTGGTATATAGTGGTATGGATCATTATATACGTTTCCAATGTCAACCGGATTATTCATCATTACATACTTTTCCAGGGCCATGGCCCCACCCATGGAATAGAGCCATTGCAAGGAGGAGGGGGAGGACAAGGAAAAGAGCTTGGCCATCCCTAGCTGATAGCTGCAGGTCATAGGAGAAATCTTCCTTAAAGTTCAAACACCCGTCACAAAGTTAACAAGTAGGACAAGCCTGTGCTTCAAGAATCCAGCCCAAAAAGAAGACGAACGTGTTTCAATTTGCAAAGAACAAAGGCACGTCAAAATACAGAGTATCCGCATACCTTTGCGAGCCAAGCCATCTCCTCAAGCAAGTAATCCCAATGACACTTCGCTCTTGGAGGTTCTGGATGCTTGGGAAGTCGCCGAGATGAGCAAATCTGTATGCAGAAAAAAAGTTATGACGTTTATCACACCTTACTAGTATATTAACATAACAAAAGTCCAACAAAGACAATCCACTCCTTTCATACTGGGTTCCTTGCACCTTCAAGACCCCACGAGTTATTTTTATCAATGACCACTCAACTCAAATGAGCAGATAAACAGGGTTACGAATAGAAACCAAGAAAAGACATAAAAGCATAATCAACTTACGAATGGAACCCAAAAAACTTGATTTACAAAGAGGAGGAAGTGTCAACAATGTTGTAGGGATAAGAAGCATTTGTTTTCAGTAGCTGCTTACCTATTGTATGCTTCTCTTTAAAAGAAAGTGTTTGCCCCATTTACATTGCAAATTTTGCACTTTAAGCCACCTATTCTCTCCCTCCTCTCTCTCTGCCCCCAGCTCACTCTCCATAATCTTTCTTCATTCCCAAGAACATGACCGTGTGGACACTGCTTACGACTGACGTCCATAAGCATTCTCCTCAGCATCGTGCCACTTTTCCAATGTGAAACGAATACCATAACCCCCGTAAGTGAAACAGGGTACATAGCAAAGGAGAAAAAGATCATCCCCTCCACCCCCCCCTCCGGCTTTCATTCCCAACAACATGACCATGCTGGACATTGCTTCTGACTGACGCCCATAGGCATTCTCCTCAGCATCATGCCTCTCCTCCGATGTGAAACAAACACCATAACCAGAGTAAATAAAACAAGATAGATTGGGTAAGGAGAAAAAAACATTACCCCCTCCCCCCCCCCTTCTCCCCCTTCTCTACTTCCCCTCCTCCATCAATATTTCAAATGGGGTCAGGGGGGGGAAGAGGAAGAACAACTTTATTTTGAAAAGACAATGGGTATAAACCTCTGCCTCACAGTTCACTTTTACAATACTATAGAACTCAAATTCCAAGGGGTCACGTTTGATCACTGAAGGGGCTAGCTATACTACTATAGTTCTTTATTAACGAAATGTAATACCCATCGATCCTCAAGAACGATCCAACTTAATCACAGATGGGGTCATTGCCAGTCCCTAATAGTAGTCAATGAAAACTCTGTTCACGACATGATGGAATATACCGGAAGCATTGCAGAACCCCAATGGCATCACCACAAACTCATACAGCCCATGTCTGGTCTGAAATGCAGTTTTGTGTTGATCCTCTGGCCTTATGAGTATCTGGTGGTACCCAACTTCAAATCTATGTTGTTGAAGTACCTACATCCCTGCACCCTATCCAAAAGGTCACTGATGCAGGCCAGGGACTCTACATGACAGACTGCGACATCAGGCCCCTATAGTCAATGCACATCCAAGGTAACTCCCTTCTTGGGTATGAATAGAACATGGGACCGGTAAGGTGAAGTACGTGCCCTAATTCGTCGCTTTTAACCAAGCTCCTTTAGTTGCTTGCAAACCTCACCAAGCTCTGCTGGAGACATCCTACAGATCGTCTCTTTCGAAGTCTTGGCCCTCGGGAAAATCTCTAGATACTTAGCGGCAACTCTTGCTACCTCTAGAGGTCTCTACGGCCTGCCCCTTTGGGGGCACAAACACTAAGAACATATTCTCTTATCGGTTCTTTCTGTAGTAATCTTAGAACGCACTCACGAGAAAGCATGCATAGGAATCCATCTTATGAGCGAAGTACCTCTTTGGGCGAATTTCCTCTCGTCTATCTTGATGTCCCACTCGAACTCAGCCTGTAGGATACCCGAAATGACCTTTTTCTGTTTCAGCCACTTCGTCCTTTTTTGGGGACCTTGACCCTGAGACTTGAATTTGGGGTCTGCAAGTGAAAGTCCTTTCACAATGGCTATATATATCGTCAAATAGAACTGCCCGGTAAACCGTAGGCAGAGAGGGAGAAGAGGACAACAAACGAGGGGCTGTGACAAACTGTTTCGTCGGA